AACAAATTTGGAAAGGCAAGCAAATAACATGAAGAAAAGTTAACCTTTTTGGCTTGTTTACTTTTTTGGCTTTTTCCTTGCAATGTCTTTCATTGATATGATGAATTGAGATTTAATTGTTAAAAAAGTTTTGAAGGATAATTATAAATAATTAAATATATATATTTTAATTGTAACACCTTAAAAATATAGAGTATACTGTGCTCTGGAATATTTTTTGGGGAAAAAAATAATCCATCCTTTTTTTTTTTTGCTTTTTGGAGTGTATTAATATGATACAGTCCACAAGGCAAGGAACTCGGAGGTCTCCAGCCAACAGCCACTGTGAGGAAGCCATCTTAGAAGTAGCTCCTCCAGCTGAAATGCAGCCCCAGCTGACAGATGACATCCTCACTGCAATCTTATGAGAGACCCTAAGCCACCTACCTACACCGCTCTTGAATTATTCAACTGTGAGATAATAAATGTTTGTTGTGTTAAGCCACTAAAAAATAATAATAATAAATTAAATTAAATATCATATGGTAACCACTTTCACAATGTATACTGGACTGCCAACAAGAGCTGTAAGGATTGTAGAATCACAGTTGCTCTCTGTTACACTGGAAAAGAAAAGCAAAAAACAAAAAAAAATGAAACTATTGAAACCGCTTTATTCTATAGGTCCGACTGCTTTCTGGGATAGCACAGCACTGGATTCAACCGATTTTTAATTAAGTAAATATTTGTTAAACACCTAGTACTTGCAAAGTAGTACAGTAAGTAAAGGAAAAACTTGACAACAGAGAAAAAGAAATCAAGTTATTACATGTATGTGTTTTAAAATACCAGTCCTAAGTTCAAAAAGCATTAGTAAATACAGTATGTTATTTACTATGTGTTTTTCAGATATTGCCTTTTTATATCCTGCCTTTATACCTGTCTCTTGTTTGCCCCTGGAGTCATTTCTTCCCATCTAATATTCACATTTCTCAACATTGCAAAAGTTCAGGACTGGAAGGATCATTCATATTGTTCACTCTCACTCATTTATAAAACGGTAACCAAAAGATCATTATTATCTCTTATCATCTACCTTCCTTCCTCACAGAGACAAAGAAAACAGAGCTGGCTGTGCCCTGTTTTAAGCAGATACAAAATTATAGAATCACTCTTATTTTTAGGAGTTCCAATCCACTTAATAATTTTTGTGGGGCAGAGGTGACATTCTGATAGCCTAATGTTTAAACTCAGATGATGGAGGAAGGCAGAGTTGGAAGTGGTAGCCAAATGATTAGGTGGAGTTTAGTGAATTGCTTACGTGATATAATTTCATAGGCCATTGAGGCTCTGTTATCCCTAAAAATTACCACTGCTCTGTATAGTCTGAAAACTTAATATCGTTCCAACTGAAGGCTCCCTCTGTTAAAACACAGAATAAACACTCTGTGAAGCAACACTTTAACTGTTATCAGTCATTTATACTTCGTGGAAGTGTGTTTTAAATTCTTTCTTGGAAGTAGATTTTGATAAAGAACAGAATGTTATTGGATACTGTGGGATGAAGTACAGAAGAAAGTGTAATGTTGTCTAAGACACCTTCGGGCACCCTGCCTGTTTTTTAGTTTTGCCAATGACTAGTATGACACAAAAAATAGAATCGAGTTTACTAAGAAATTGATTTGCAAATATTTTTTCTGTAACTTTAAAAACATAGTTTCAAGTTTATAGAAAAGTTATAATAGTAGTACAAGAAACTCCTATATACCCTTTCTCCCCACTTGGTGAAAGTTCCTACTTGTTCTATCATTGTCTCTCTCCATCTGATCATTCATCATGCCTAGAGTTTGCTTAGATTTGAGTTTCCATCTGCTATCACTTCTTTTGCCCAAAGAATTTCCTTTAGCATTCCTTGCACAGATCTGATGCTGATAAAACATTTATCATTTACCTGCAAGTGTTTATCTAAACATATTTGTAATACTTTAAAGTCCTTGTCTGCCAATTCAACATCTGGGTCATCTTGGAGTCAATTTATAGCGACTGCTTTTTTCTCTTGACTGTGGACCACATTGCTTCATTTCTTCTCTTGACTGTGAATCTCATTTTCCTGTTTTTCTCATTTCTGTGATTTCTGATTGAATATTGGACATTGTGGATGATATGGTGTAGAGATTCTAGATTCTGTTATCTTTCTCTGAGAAGTGTTGTTTTTGTTCTAGCAGGCAATTAATTTGGCAGGACTGAAACTGTCTCTCTTATGGTAGCTGAAAACTCTGCTTAGGCTTCAGCCTTTTAGTTTTTGGTTTTTTCCCCCCTTTCTACCAGGTTCCTAACAGTCTCTGTAGTTCAGAAATCAGCCTAGGACTTGGCAGAATTTATATGCAGTTTTTGGGATTCCCCCTCCTCTGGTTCACTTCTTCCTGTGATGTTCTTCCTCACTTTCCAGTCTCTCCAGAGTCCTGAACTCTGT